AGGGCGTATAGCCGGATGAAGAAAGTTTAATTTTCTAATGATACTTCTTCGGCCATATTGTTTTCATTTAATATAGTAAATTAAATTTTAAATTTTAATCATTATCGTCCACGAATACGTTTTTTTTTTTTTTTTTTTTGAACAGTAAAAATAAAAAAAATTGTTTACTTTTGAAAGATATCACAGTGTCTATTTACTTTTGTTAATTATATTGTCGCCATTCGGCAGAGTAAACCATTAGATATTGTCGCACAATTGAAAAGACACAAAAATTCAATATTCGAATTTTTACCGTTTTTAACGAATAATAATAAAATTAAAAAAAAGAAAAAAATAAGCAAATTTATTTTGAATTATTTGAAAAAAAAATGTTTTTTTTTTTTAAATTTACAAAATACTTCTTAACCTACAATTGAATTACACGGTCAGGAGGAAGTTTTCAGGCACAAAAACCGTAATTTTCTTATCCTCAATATTTATGAATTAATTCAGCCATATTTTTATTCCTTTTTAAGAAAATATTTTCAAGTTTGTTTTGTTACAAAGAAAATCATTTTAATTTTAAAATATAATTTATTTAAATGAATAATAATTATATAGATTTGTCCTAGTATTAATATCGGAAAAATTTTTAACAAATTAAAAAAAATTATACATGTATTTATTTTAGTAAAAAATAAGTAAAAAAAATTTTTTATTATTATTATAAAATATATATAAAATATAAAAAAAAAATAATAAAAATTAAATTTAATTACGTAAAAGTTAAAAAAAGTTTCCAAATGAAAATATGTTTAAATATTAAGTGACCATAAAATGTGATTGAATTGTATATTTTTTGTTTAATCACCTTTTTTTTTGTAATTTTCTATAATCGTCATTTCAGAGTTTATTGTTCAATGATAAATTTATCGTCGGTTCCAATAAAAAATTTCTTACAAAAATAAAAAAAAAATTTCTTTTTCGGGTTTGTGTGTAATAAAAAAAAAAAAAAAAAAAAAAAAAAAAAAAACTTTGTAAAAATATTATCAAGGCCATCGGAAAAAATATTTTTCAAATGGTAAATTACAAATGAAAGTATGAAGAGGAAATGCAGATACTCCAGAGAGAACTATTCCAAAAGTATCAGCAACACTTGCAATGCTTAATGCAAACAACCTATATTTTTTATCAACCTAAAATTTAAATAAATAAATAATTTTCATGAGGTGAGAATTTTAAAATTGACAAAAAAAAAATAATAATTTTAAAATACCATGTATGACATGTTGTAAAATGTATTTGCATAAGCAGCACCCCCAAGCAAACCTTCCCAAAATATTAAAATAAACATTATCCAAACATTTGGAATAAAACCATAAATGGCTTCAAGAAAAAGTATAATAAAATTAATTCCCTAAAACAAAAGAAAAATTTAAAATTTGTTATATAATAATAAAAATATTTCCTCATGCATGAGCACGTTTTGTACCTGTAACAAAGACATGATCCAAATTTTTTCAAAATGAATTTTTGAAACTGATGATCTTGAAATGAAAACTCCAAGTTGATACATAACATTAAACCATCTAAATTGACTACTTTTTGAAATTATAGTGTTTGTGAATTCAAATTTATCAAACTTGAAAAAAACAACACCATCACCATCACATTAAAATAATATCAAAAAAAAAAAAAATGTATGAATTTAACATGAATTATATTTAACAACATACCAATCCACTGTTTATGAGATATTCAAAATAATAAACTAAACCAACAGGAATCATAAATTTTATTAGTTTTGGCACATATTTTAATTTTTCTTTAAATTCTTTTATTATCTTTGACCTGTAATTAAATAATATTCATTATTCATTATTATTATTATTATTATTATTATTATGTTTTTTACATGTTATATTACAAATTGATACCAACAAACTTTTCTTATTTGATTCACTGGTAGTAGTAGTAGTTTCTGTTTTCCTCTTACACCGGTAAAAGGTTTTGTATTCTTTGGGATGTTCTAAAATAATCCAAAATCTACAACAAAAAAAGTTATTATTATCATTAGAAAATTAATTTCAATTTGAAAAAACAATAAAAAAAAAGACATAATTATTTTTTAAAAATAACATACGAAATTGCCATTAGAATCGGTACGGAAATACTCGTTAGCAAAGCGACTTCGGGTGAGAGTCCTCCTTCTGTCATACCTGCATATGCAAAAGACCCAACTAATCCGGCTCCTCCTGTACCTGAAGACCATGATGCAACAGCATATCTAATTGTAATAAAAAAAAAATAAAAAGTTTTCAACAGTAATAATTAATTGTGCGTACTCCTTGTGATTATGTGTGAAAAGTTTACTCACAAAGGAAAATTCGTTGAATATGCCAAAAGAGTAATTTCTCCTAAACCTGAATTAAATGAAGCAAAACAAATTCCAATAATAGCAAGAGTAACAGATTCGGAAATTGCAACGAGTACCAAAGAAAGAATTCCCGTAATTACAGCCAAACCAATCCGAAAACTTTAACAAAAAAAAAAGAAGCAATTAATTATAAGAAATTTTTTTAAATTCTGTTGATTATGTTGGTACTCCGTGTGACGTAATAAAAAAAAAAAATTTATAACTTACTGAACCAAAAATGGTAAAAATGGACAAATTAATTTAACAAAAAGAGTTGGAACGATATCCGCTAAAAGAATGGCGCCCGTCGTTAATTGCGTACAATTTCGATTATAATCATTTTCTTCCGGTACTAAATTTGTTTCATTTAAATTCTATAGTAAAAAATTAATAATATTAATAATAAATTTATTATAATTTTATTTTTACAAAAAAAAAAAAAAAAAAGAGAAAAACTCACGTTAACTTCAACTCTGTGTATAATATCGTGTGCAGCACTTAACATAATAACATAAATGTAATTGTTACAAAGTCCCAGAATCCAAAAAGCCAAAATTGTTCTTAATGATTTTACTTTATTTGATGCTGATGATGAATTTTTCGTACTCGAATCACTTTCTGTACTATTTTCACTTGTTTTTTCATCCATTATTTATTATTATTATTATTATTACAATTTAAGTAAATTATTAAATAATACCTGTATATTTTATGTTTAACAAATACATACATATTAATAAAACAATTACAATGAAAAATTTAAGGGGAAAAAATTTTTCCAATAATCTGATACTCCCCTCCTTCTCTCCTCCCCAAATAATAAAAATAATTAAGGTTAAGTTGAATTGATACCATAAGAAAAAGAGAGTCAACACAATTATTAACTGAATTTTTTGATTTTTGCCAAAAATGTAGAAAAAATTTGAAATCCATGAACCCCCCCTTTTTTTTACTTTCATTTCTTTTATCATTATTATTATTATTTAATTAAAAAATAAATAAATTGATTATAAATCAAGTTAAATAATCAATAAATTGTATAATCAACAGTTTTTTTTCCAAGTAAAAAAAATTAAATTTGTGAATAAACAAATAAATAAAAATATGAGAAAACTAAAATGAATTACTATAATCACTTATAATCATCAGGTGCAGTTCAAGTCATTGTCAAAGTTTTTCATGATCCAGGTCTTTACCCGCGATTCCTTAGGGATAACTGGTGTCTGAAAATTGGTGGTGGGCTGTCTAACAATCTGGGCCATACCACACAACGCAACAATTTCTTATTTTCTTCTTCACTTTCTTTACTGATTCTACTTCATTAACTGAATTGAGCGGATTCAAACGCTGCTGCCACGATAATTCAAATTATTTTTTGTTTTTAATTTCATCATTCTGGTAATCTTCAAATCTTCAAATTCTTGTATTTCATACTTTTTTACGAACACTTCAATTTATTTATACTATTTTAAAGAATTATTTCATACCGGTAATATCCGTTTTTGTCTTCTTTTTGAGGTTGAAAAATTGGTTTATCTTGTGCAGCTGTGATGATAAATCTCCTTCTATTTCAACTTTTAATTTACACTCCATAGCCATTTGTGCGTCCTTTTTTCATTTATGCCTGAAGAGTTTAACCTCAACTTCAACTTTTTCTGTTTTCGTTTACTGAACACACATAAATACATATATGTTGCAACCTGTCATTCTTTTAATCCATTCTTAATCCCTATCAATTCACCTAACCCTATTATTAATTAGAGATTTTTTTCTTACATTTCTACTGCTATAATGCAATCCCTTTATAATAATAATATATAATCCTCTTCCATTATCTTTTTAAGAGACATACAGTCTGTCAGCATCCGCATTCGAATGTGTCACACCATTCATTGCACACATCTTCTTTGTTCTTAAATCTGGATGCAAAATCTCGTACATATATTGTCCAACTGATGAAGCCCAGAGATAATTCAATCACAAAAACGATAAATTTCATTCGTTTTATCTTTTATTCTCTTATTATTATTATTAATATGTATTCAATTCGAAAAAAAAACTATTTCAAAAGTTTATCTTATTTAAACATAAATAAATGAATGGAAAATACCTGTTGATCATTAGAAAAAAATTTCCGCGGGAAAATAACCTTTATGGCGTTGTTTTTTTTTTCTTGTCAAATTTATTGCAACCATTTTTTGTCTTTTTACAAAAAAAAGAAAACAAATTAAAAATATAAATGCAAATGATTTAATTCTAATTAAATCTAAACATTATTTTTTTCTGACTTGATAAATGACACAATAAAACTAAAAATGAAGTTTAATAACGAAAAATATGACCTTGACCAATTCAATTTTCTTTTAAATTTTGAAATAATAATAATAATAATAATAATTAAGTAATGTATTAGTCAAATAAGGCACGTGCTTTGAATTATAATAACAACCCAAACATAACCTCAAATTTTTATTATTTAAAAAAAAAAAGAAATTAATACATCATCATTAATGGTGACTTACCTAATTGTTTCATTAAATATATAAATTTAAATTAAAATTAAATATTTTTTTTAAATGCTCAATAAATAAATAAAAATCGTATTTTTATAAATAAATAATTATTTTACATTTTTAAATATTCTATACATTTTCGCGTATATATTTTTAATAAAAGTTGTATGTGAAAGTCCAAACATAAAAAAAAAAAAATTATATGTAAAAAAAGAAACGTAAATACGGTGATGTAATCAAGTAAGTAATCTTATCCTCCTTCTCTTTAAAATAACATCAAATAACTGAGAATATTTTAAGCCTAAAATAATAAACTAAAGCCTAATAAAATAAAAATAAAAAAAAATTGAAAAATTTCAATGTTAAATATTACCTGGATTTTTTTTTTTTGAAATTTTTGACAATGTAATTAAATTGTTTTCTTTTATTTTTGTTACATTGTCATTTAAAATTTATTGGAAAAATCCTGTATTTATATAATAATTATTGTTTTTTTAAAAATCATGCAAGTTATTAAGAATAATGATTAAAATTTCAATCAGAGAAAAAAATCAGTCATTACTTTAAAGTAAACAATGATTACATCTTGTAAAATAATTAACGCATGTCAAAATTGTATTTGAAAAATCAAAATAAAATTAAAATATGCAATTATTAGGTAATAAATCAAATAAGGATATTGACTTCTGCATCTTGTTAAAAATATCAATTTAACTATTAAGAAAAAAAAAACTTCACCAAGAAAAAAGGTAATTTTATACAATAAATTTAAAAACAATGAAGTAAGCTTGGTTTTTGCATTGCGATTGTGTATAATAATATTTGAGTTTTATATTTAAAAAAAAAAAAAGCAAATCCCTAAAAAGTATTTGCTGAACTATACGATTCAAATTTTAAAATAAATTCTCACTAATAGTTTGTACACGAGAAAAACGCATAACTCTGAGAGATGATAGTGATCATTATAGTTATTTACAATGATATGTAAAATATTGTTTATAAGCCCCCTGTAATATCATCAGCGGTTGACAAATAAAAATAAACTAATAGAAAAATAAATAACATAATAATATATATATATATATTTAATTAAAATATTTGTATAAAAGATATTAAATTGATTAAAATGTAACATACTCTACAAATACAAATAAGCACAATTATAAATTACTTTAATTTTTTTTTTAAGTTGGAAATGAAATTTTTTTTTTTATTATTTTGATGAAATATTTGTTTTTTGAAATTCTAAATTGGCAGCTTTTTTAACATATGTAAATATATTTTTGGCAACTTCTTCATGAGTCATATTTTCATTATATGGATAGTCAATGGAGTCTAAACTAACTTTGTTGCTCTTTTTAAACTAATTTAAGTTAAGTGATTAGTTAGTATTAGTATCAAAATAGGAAATAATAAAGTTAAATAAACTTACCTGCTTGTACTTTGAATACAAATTTCTATGTCTTTTGACTGAATGTTAGACATGGATGACAGTGTTTCATATTCAAATAAATACCTTTGCAGCCTTGAATTTGATTTTAATAATTTAATCTGAAACAAAAAAAAGAAAAATGTTAGTAAGAATAAACTGTATCAGTCATGATCAGTCAAATATACAGTGCATTACCTGGTAGGATTTATACAACTGTAGCAATTCAATTATTATATTTAATAGGCAGTTAACATTATTGGGTTTCCAATTAACTAATGAAGGCACATTTGATTTTATTGTATCTGCTGTTTCATGTGCCAAAAAGTTTTCCTCCAAGATAAAATCAGGAGATTTTGACAGATCGTTACCGTTCATGAGAATCTGCCAATTTAATGGTTTTTTACAGTACAAAATTCTAAGTTGAAATCTGTCACCATACTGAAATTCATTTTTTTCTAGTATTTGTCCACATTGAATACTGTGAATATCAGCCAAGTCTTTCAGCAAACCTGTCAACCATGAAATGTATTATTTAAACAATTAATTTAAAAAATAATTTGAATCAAAATGTAAATAAGTATTTTTTATTACCGAATTCATAAGTTAACACTACTTTGACGTAAGGGCGTATAGCCGGATGAAGAAAGTTTAATTTTTCTAATGATACTTCTTCGGCCATATTGTTTTCATTTAATATAGTAAATTAAATTTTAAATTTTAATCATTATCGTCCACGAATACGTTTTTTTTTTTTTTTTTTTTTGAACAGTAAAAATAAAAAAAATTGTTTACTTTTGAAAGATATCACAGTGTCTATTTACTTCTGTTAATTATAATCTCTCCTTAATAATAATAAAAAGAAACCAACCTTACATATGATATCACCATAAGGCCAATTTTCAAATATGTAAATCGTTGAGGTAAAAGGTACGGAAAAAAGTATGACGAGTAAATCTCCTAAAGCTAAACTAAATATATAAATATTGGGTTCGTTTCTCATACTTTTATGTTTAATAAAAATAAATATTAATGTACCGTTTCCAATGGCTCCTATCTAAAATATACATATACATAATATATATTTCACATATAATTTTTTATATCAATATAAAAAAAAAAGAATAAAAAAAAAAACTTACAAAAAAAATTAATCCAAAAACAAATGGAACAATATATGTTTCTAATCTTTTATAATATGGTACATAATCGTAATATTGAGTTTCATTTAAAATTAAATCATATGAAAAGTTGTAATCAAACATTTTATCATTAATTATATTATTATTATTCATTTTATATTAATATATATATGTACACACATAAAATATATTAATAAATAAATATAACAGTCTCTACATATATATTTATTTTCCTGTTGTTTTTTTGTAAAAGAAAAAATTTATTTTTATTAATAATAATAATAATAAGTTTTAACAAAATAAAAAATTATTTGATTGATATAAGATGATGATGATGATGTTTTCATGAAGTTGATTAATATCAATTGACATTTATTTTTTAAAATATAATTTTATAAATGAAAATATATATTATATATTAAAACCTCTTTTGTCTTATAAAAAATAATGAGGAAAAAACAAAAAAAAGTTAATTAAAATTTAATTGGTTTTCTATTTTATTAGTAGAAAATTTTTTTTTGTTTCCTTATTTGAAATTATTTCTTTTATTATTAAATTTTCTTCTTCTTCTTCTTTTTATTAATTTAAGTAATTAATACTTTTACTTTAATAATAAATGAAATTTTTTTTTTTTTAAACTTTATGTTGTATACGAAGAAGAAGAAGAAAGATGTAGTTGAATGTGAGAGAAAGAGAGAGAGAGAGAGAGTTGTTTTATCATGAACTGTAAAATTTGTGAGTATTTAAGGTTTAAAGCCAATTAAAAAGTTAATCCTGATAAGAAGAACATGTACCTGATAATAAGAGATTATTAGAAAAATTCAAAAAAAAAAAAATCATTTTTTAAGAAACCTGAAAATTTTATTTTAATCAAATCAAAAAATTTAATTTGATTTGTTGTTTTAATGAAACAAGACTAAATAATAACAAAAGATTTTTTTTTTAAAACAAAAAACAAAAAAAAAGAAAAGAAAAAAAGATTTTTGCATCTTTGCTACCATGGAAACTATAAGATGAAAGATTCTTATGTACCAAATTTAAAAAAAAATATTCTTCTTATTATTATTATTCTTATTCTTCTATCGATTTTAATAAATTAAACAAATCTTATTATTTATTTTAAATAATTAAAAACAAATAATAAAAATTAATTAAGTTTAATAATAATAATAATAATATAAGAGAGAGAAATTTACTTTATTAACTTTTACTTTTAGTAATACCTGATTTCATAATATTTATTATTAATTATTTTTTTTAAATAAAAAGTTAATAAAAAATTATATTTTCATTTAAAAAAAAAAAAAAAATTAAATAAAAGGTTTTGTTGTAAATAATTAATAATAATAATATTAATAAAATTAATAATAAAAAAAGTATAAAAGAGGGGAAAAAATAGAAATTACTCAAAGAAAAAGTTAATTAATAATTAATTAATTAATTAATTAATAGGTCATCTTTTAATATTTTTCTCTCTTATAAAAAAATTAAATTTAAAGTTTTACAAAAAAAAAAAAATTCTAAAATGTGATATTTATCTTATACATAAAATTAAAAATTATTTTAACGGAAAAATTAATAGGTGATAATAATTTAAAAATAAAATATTGATAACAATGATAAAAAATTTTACCTAATTTATATAAATAAATAAAAAAAAACAAAGACACCAAATCGCCAAATTTTTTTACGGTTAACTTTATACAAAATATAAAAACGAACTAAACTTCTTGTTCACTATTTTATATTATTTTCTTTCCTTTTATATTGAAATTTTTGACTTTAAAGCGCAGGATTTTTTAAAATTTTCCCTTTTTTTATTTTATTTTTAAACAAAACTTAATTTTATTATTGTAAATTTATATTTAATTTAATTAAAAAAAAAAAAGGAAAAATTATAAAATAACTAAATTAACAACAATGAAAACTTTTAGTTTTGATTGAAAAATTGGCTTCTTATTATTATTATCATCATTATTATTATTAAATTATTTCCTTTTGTTACATGTATTTATTATTTAATATATATAAAATTAAATAAAAAAATAATTTATCAAAGGAACCAAAAAAAATTGTTATTAGAAGAATAACCAAATAAACCAAAAGAATTGTTATTAATATTATTATTATTATTTTTTATTAAATGATAATACAAATAATTATATATACATACACATTTGAATAAAAATTTTTTTTCCATGTTAAATACATGAAAATAAACTCCAATATGAAGATTTTTATATTTATAATATATATATAATATCATCCTTTAAAGAGAAATTTTAATAAAAAAAAAACAAAACAAAACAAAAATACAACAAATCATTTTTCAAAAATGAAATAGATTTCAAAAGCATTTAACTGCTTTAAATAATAATAATAATTATTATTATTATATTATATTTACATATATTTAAATCTCTTCCCACACGACCACGTGGGAAGACACACCACGTGTTACATATATCAACAGGTTAAAAAAAAAAATTCCAGATAGAATTTTCAAAATTAATTAATTAATTAATAATTATAAATGTTATATTATTTTTATTAATATAAATTCCTAAATGAAAAACAAATCTATCGTTAAATATATAGATAAGGAATTTATTTTATACTAAAAAAAAAAAAAAAAACTTTTTTCAATAAAAAGCTGCCTCAAAATCAATGAATTTTTATCTTTTTGTATTCATTTAAAACTTTATCATCGATTTATTTATTTTTATTTTTTGTTGTATTACTTTAAAAGATTCATTTTATGCTTAAAAAAAGAGGGGAGGGAGGGGAAGGGGACACCGTTACAAGTTAACAAGAAAAAAGTAAAAAAAAAAAAAAAAAATTTTTTTGTTCGGAATGTTTGTTTGAAACAAAATTATCATTTTCATTCGACAACATTACAGCTTATTTCTTAATGCCCTCCCCCTCTCCTCCTCCCCCTTTTTTTAATAGTTTTCGCAAAACAATAATTAAAATACTAAAAAAAAACCGTTAGATTATAAAAAGGAATAAATATACATACAATTACATCTTTTCTATTTTTTGACTAGAAAAAATTTCATAACAAACAAACAAACAAAAACTTTTAAAAAATGTTTTAAATGAATACAACTTTTTTGTTGTTGTTGTTGTTAGCAGCTTAAAAAAAAAATTAATTGTTGTAAAATTGTATGCACAAAAACATACAAATAAAAACATTTAAAATTGATTTTAAAAAAAATTAGGGAAACATGGCTAAAATGGCGGCACAAATCTCTTGAGGTTTCGTTTCGTTCGGATATAATTGAAGAGCTGCTCTTACCTGTTCTTCCGGAAAAATTGAAGAGAGATGATAGTGAAGTTTTCTTCTTGCTTCTTCTTTAGAGTACGAATCAAATTGATGGAGAGTCTGTGGAGGTAATCCCATGGGATTCGGCGAGGAATATATTAGAGGAGTTTGAGCGGCGGGAATCCACGTTCTGTTTTCAAACGGATCCGATACGCTCGAAGATGAATCTGGAGCACATAAATTAATTTGAGAATCTGATGTGCTACTGAATCTTTGCATTGACCTTCTATTTGACGACTGCGGATGAACGACCCGAAAAGAATCGGGAGCCGATGCTATCCTGCTAACGTTTTGATGTTCCCAATAAGTATTATCAATATTATCTACTGGTCCAGCATTGATTTGTCTCATGCCGTAAAAATCATGTTCGTAAGGATTTAACGTCAGCTGACGTTCCAATTTCTTATGAAGATTTCTCGGAGTTTCACTTCGAGAAGCTTCGGGATCTGAGAGTCGTTGACCAACAGTGCTGTGAGCTCTTCCTTGATTCATCATTTGAGCGTAATGCCAGTCGGGCGGATTCAAAGGCCTCCAAAAAACATTTTGTGTCAAAGTATCTTGCGGAAAAGGTTTTTCGTTCAAAATATTTTCAACGCTTTTACTCTTTCCAACTCTGTCACTTTCTAAATTGAAACAAGAAGTTGGAAAAGCGGGAGTTCCAGATTTCGTACGGACCAAAGGAGTTTTCTTGATTGCTCCGTGTTGTTTCACATGGTCTTCCGTGCTTAAAGGAACGCTCAGTGATTTACCTTTTAGTTGAACTCCAGAAAAATCTCTCGCTCCCCTCGCTTGCCAATGTTTTTGAGCGTGTTCCACTAATCTTTCCGTCACAGATTTATGTGGCATCGACCCGCGCTCCGGATGATTATATTTACATTTATTACCGTATGTACATTTTTTACCGTAAGGACAAGGAAGGGCAGTGTTATTCTTTTTAGTTTGCATTCTGAGAAAATTATCCAACGTCGGACCGGATCTACCCAGAGGATCATCAGGAGGCATGAACCTTTAAACAAAACAACACCGAATTGAGTATCCGAAAAAAAAAAAATCCTTGCAATAACCAATTTTTTTTTATCATAATTAAAAATAAATATTACCTGTCATTTACAAAAGAGTACATTAATGTTCTTTCTTCAATTACTTTTCTGAAATCTGCACTTTCTTGAGCGAGATCCCTGTAATTGTCATTTGAAACGACGATTCCATCCAATTCCACGGCCAGTCTTAATACGTAACGATCATCATAACATATTGTTCTCTTACCTCCAACCAATCTGGAGGGGGTAAAAACCACTATTCTTTCTTTTTCTAATTCCGTTAAAAGTTCTTGATCTAGAAATAATAATTAAAAATAAATAATTAAGTGATAATGAACAAGAAAAAAAAGAAAAGAAACGGGTATTAATAATTTTGACAAAAAAATTTTCCTTACCTACAATTGGATTATCCGGTCTGGAGGCAGCTTTTCTCCATTTGGGAACAAAAACCGTAATTTCCTTATGACCCCTGTTTCTGAACCAATCCACGCAAATTTTTATTCCCTTGCAAGAAAATACTTCCATGTTCCCGTGGCTCATGGCAACGTTACTTCCGTCTATAACAATCGGTCTCAATCTTCCCTCGGTTTCATCCACACAAATTTCTTCTCCTCCATCTTTATCATCGACGTCTGTCAACTTTGACGATTGAGCACCGAGTTTTATGAGTTCGGCAAGAAGTTCATTTTGACTTGGTCTCGGTCCTAATTTTAAAAGAGCCGTTTGAACTAATTTTTCCGTGTATCCCAACTTGAGACCGAATTCGACTTTGGCCGTGTAATCGGCCGTAT